ACTGGTAGACAAGCCTAAGAAAATTATATAAGAACAAAGACTTAAAAATATTACAGAGAATATGTAATAACCCACATATAATACATATAATTGCCCCCACTTAAGAACAGAGCAAACACAACCATACAATTCTTCAAATATAACTGAAGAAAATTTTCCTGAAAGCATGGTAACCTTTGATCAGTGCCACTGAAAGAACGTATGTCCAAAAAAAGAACCCACACAAAATAATCAACAACAAGACATAGGCCGATAACTGGAAATGTAAGCAAACAAGAACAATGAGTCCCTGCATCCAAACTTCCTGGCATCTCCTAACAGCCATACAAATGAACAAGGAGAGAATGCCTACAGCTAGAGACAGAGGAGATGGCCACGTGTAAGTCAGGCAATAAAGAACCAAGAACCAGAAGAGATCCAGACCCAAGTCCAGAATAGTGGAGGAAGCCCAAAAGGTGCTGTGCAGAAGAACAGGGAGGACAGAGGGGTCCAAGGAACCCAGATAACACCAACAAGGACTCACGGCCCTTCTTCAGGAGGAGGTCCCACACTGAGTGGGAACTTCCAAAAATAGGCCTGAGACATGATGATGGGTCAGAGCACTGACAGCAGGAGGGGCTGAAGGGAAGAGCTTGGAAAGGGCACAGAGCAACAGGCGGCTGACTTGAGGAAGCACTGCCTTGGGAAACACAGAGGAAAGTGTCTGGGAAAGTAATGGTCCTTGGAGGTTAACAGCCTATAGGGAAGGAAGAGAAGTAGAAAAGTGATTCACAGTCCTACAGAAGCAAGATCTCACATCCCATACGCTCTCCTGCTAATGGTTGATACAGGAAGATCCTCAATATTTAAATATTAATGAGAAAAATTTTCTTTAAATCAAGGAAAAACAACAGAGAAAGCACAAACAAAATAAGACATGAAAAGGGAAAAATACCATTAAAACGGCCGGGCGCGGTGGCTCACGCCTGTAATCCTAGCACTCTGGGAGGCTGAGGCGGGTGGATTGTTTGAGCTCAGGAGTTCGAGACCAGCCTGAGCAAGAGCGAGACCCCGTCTCTACTAAAAATAGAAAGAAAATTAATTGGACAACTAAAAATATATAGAAAAAATTAGCCGGGCATGGTGGCGCATACCTGTAGTCCCAGCTACTCGGGAGGCTGAGGCAGGAGGATCGCTTGAGCCCAAGAGTTTGAGGTTGCTGTGAGCTAGGCCGACGCCACGGCACTCACTCTAGCCCGGGCAAAAAGAGTGAGACTCTGTCTCAAAAAAAAAAAAAAATACCATTAAAACAGGAGTTAAAAAGATCCTGAGAGAAATCTGCACAAATCAACTCATGAAACTTAATGGAAAGTAAGGAAAGCTAGATAAAATAAAAACTTTTCACGGAAAATATAACTTACCCAAACTGACCCCATAGTGATGGAAAGTCTAAACAAACCAATTTCCACACATGATTTAGAGAAAACTCCTCAAAAACCTAATCCACAAACATTGGAGCAAGATGATTCATACAGGAATTCTAACAAGCCTTTAATTTAAAACCGAGTACATTTTGACAACACATAACAGGGAAAAAAAATAAAAGAAATCTTAAACTTCATTCAGAACTTGCATTGTTAATACTCAAATTTGCATGGCTTTACAAACTATTTTATGTAAATTGTAAGATAAAGCAAATTAGTAATTATGAAATATTATTAAGAATCAAGATTTTCAATGTAAGTGAAAAGAGATAAAAATATAAAACCAAAGTGAGTAAAATCCTACAATGTTAAATTTGAATTGAATACATCAATATATAAATTCATGATTTTTAAAAATATATTCCTAGGCTTTTCCTCTGAAATGGGGAAAAAGATGACACAGCCCACATAGCAAAAGATTGCTTTAAAAAAGCGTAGAAAGAAGCAATTTCAACAGAAATCATAAAATCAAAGAAGATAACCCTTAGGCTAGGCACAGTGGCTCACTCCTGTAATCCTAGCACTATGGGAGGCCAAGGCGGGAGGATCACTTGAGCTCAGAAGACCAGCCTGAGCAACAGTGAGACCCTGTCTCTACTAAAAATAGTAAAAATTAGCCAGGTGCAGTGGTGCATGCCTGCAGTCTTGGCTACTCAGGAGGCTGAGGCAGGAGGATCGCTTGAGCCCAGAAGTTTGAGGTTGCCGTGAGCTAGGCTGACGCCACGGCACTCTAGCCCAGACAAGAGAGTGAGACTCTGTCTCAAAAAAAAAATAATAAATAAATAAGATAACCCAACACAAAATGTCCTTTACTTAAATAGTATAAATTCCCTTAGTTTAAAAATAAATCCTCGGATTAGACTGCAAAGCACCCCAGTATATTCTAATATATCCAACTTAAAATTATACTCAGAGGGGCTGAAAGTATAAGGATGGGCAAAAACATACTAGCAGATGCAAACTAAAATAAAGCAAGAGTTATAAGACAAGGCTGAATTCAGCAATGACAACACATTAAGCAAGATGAAGAATAATACTTTATAATGATAAAAGGTACAATCTACAAAGAAAATCTATCAAAATCTTTATGCAACCAAAAATATAACTACTAAATTCATGAAACAAAAGCAAAAGAAAATACAAAGAGAAAATTGGCAGAAACATAGGAAATTCCCATATTGGTTGGGAATCTCTAGGGCTATGATGGATCAAGAAAACAAAAGCAAAGCAGTAAAAGACAAAATTAACAATGTGTGTGCTAGAAATAGAAATACGACAAAAAAGAAATCGAAATACTCATATGACTATTGATGTAAAAATAATAAAATAATAAAAAAAGGAAATCAGCAGGAAATTTAAATAATACACTATAAGTAGAGTTCATCATGGGAATGCAAGAATAATTCAATATTAGAAATTCTATTAATATTGCTTACCATATTGATAATGTCAGAGATAAAAAACATAATTATCTTCATAGATGCTAGAAAAGCATTTGATAAAATCTGTGGCCACGCAAAAGTCTTAATAAAGTAGAAGAAACAGATACTTTCTAAACATGATAAAAATTACCTACAATCAAAAGTCAACATCATGCTGAATGCTCAAATACAAGTATTCCCTTTAAAATTAAAGCAATAACTACAGTGGGCAATTTGGAAATATCTACCCCAAAAGATGCATGTACCTTTGTTTTAACAATGTCACTTCTGGGAATTTTCCTACTTTGTTTATAAGGAAAAAACTTGAGGAAAATAATTAAATGTTTATCAATATGGTGACATCCACACAATGGAATACTAGGTGGCCTAGAAAAGGAATGAGTTAGACCTGATGTGGTAATCTAGAATGATGATTAAAATATATTATTAAATAAAAAAGGTTCAAAATGGTATGCACAATATACTCCCCATTTGTTTGAACATGTGTTCTCTTGAACAATATTTCTCTGAGGGTATAAATTAAGAGGGGAGAGAGGGAGTTGGAGCATGGAACAGGAAGGAGACAACTTTTGGTTGTCTAAGTTTTTATACTGCTTGAATTTTTCTCATATACATGTGTTATTTTTTTCAATTGACAAAAACTAATAGAAAATAAATGTGAAAATCGCAAAATGCTTGGGGGAAGTATTTTTCTGCCATATATTGTGAAAATTGAGAAGAATAATTTTTATGTCCATAGTACAGACTATAAACCCTGTTTTCCTCAGCATCCTGAATATAGTTCAGAATAGGCTAGAATAAACATAACATCTTTGGGGAAAAAAAAAAAAGGTTTTCTACAAAAAAGTGAAAATAAATAATTTATCCTAAGAAAAATACTCCAAAATTCAAGAAGAAAGGTAGGTCAATAAAAATTCATATTTGGAAAAGATCTATGAAAGTAAGGCAAAATCCCCATCACAGGAGAGGAAATTAGGAAGGTTTATCAGAGAGGAAAAGAAAAAAAAATCTCACTCAAAAGGCCTTCTATTACGCATCATGTCTAAGGAAATGAGGAAGACCAGAGAAGGTGAAGCATCATCTAGGAAGAATTCTTGCCAAAAACTTCCAGTTTACAGGAAATACAGAGGTTAGAGGAACAAGGAAACAATCAGAAAATCCATAATCTGAAACAATCTATAAGACAAATAGCCTGGTCTCTTCAGCAAGTCAAAGTCATGAGAAAAAAATGCAAAAGAAAAACTATTGTATATTAAAAGAGACTTAAGAAACGTAACAACCAAACAAAATGGGTGATTTTTGGATCTTAGTTTGAGCAAACAAGCTCTAAAATATATTTGGTGACAACTGGGAAAATGTAAATATGGACTGGTTTGGGAAGATCTGTCCTACTAAGTGAAGATCGGAAGGTAGTATTACACTGACTATTAAAAGGAAACCAGACTAGGGAACACAGAAGCTTATGTGTTTAAAGTGCATTTTAGGTAGCAAAATGCTCTGAAGCATTGCCACTATCTGTGTTTAAAACAAAGTTGAAATTATGCATTGGGGTAAAATTCTTTCATTCTGCAGACTTGCATTCTCATTAAAATGAAATTACACAAAACTGAAAAGTTGCAAACTGCTAATCTGCATTCAGGTATTATGTTACTTTGTAAGCCTTTATGTTTGCACGTGCTCACACCCAGTGAAATCAGAGGAAATGGAAAGAGTGCTCCAGGAAGACAATGTCTCCCCTTTATTCCCCCACATATTTTCTTTATAGTATACAATGTTAGGGCATAAAGTTTGCTAATTTTAACTGAGTAATAAAATATGCATGTGCTCACAATGAATTTTAAGCTAACTGAATACTGTGAGACCTTGATAAATAAGAAGTAGCAAACCATACAGAACAAATATATTGATTTTATAAAAGTGCAATACGATGAGGCTCAAAGGACAAAAGACATGTTCATGAAAATATAAGTTACTGTAAAGCTGTGTTTTTCAGTACAAGAAAAAAAGCCTCTGTGATTTGCTAATTATGTCTATTAAGAATAAAACAGTTGCATTAGAATGTGTACTCAGGAAACTAGTTGATATAATGACTTACATAATGATTTTCCTGGATATAACTTTGCTTGGGGGTAACCAGGGATCATTTTTTCATCTTTAGCTCTAAGATTTTCAAGTTCATGTTTGATAATGAATTGACATTCTGCCATTGTGAGGAAATCATCATTGTTATCTAAAATAAAACAAAAATTTCCAGTTATTTTCTCAGTAATAATCAAAATAAAATTAAGTAATATTCTAACTACCTGGCATTATGGAAATAATGATATAAACAATAAACAATTAACATAAGGAGTAATCAAAGTCTAAAACTGGTAAATTAAATTGAACATGAAACTCCTTAGACATAAAAATAAAAAAATTGTGTTATATCTTCACATAATACAATTTCTCAATCATTTTAATAGTTATTACATAATATGGCACAAACATTCAAACAACATATACCTGATCTCATTTAGTACCAATGAGCAGAAGGCAATATATTCTTGAATTCTAACAATACAGTATTTTTAACCAGGGACGGAACTGAAGTTGTTTGCCTATATGGCAAATTCTCCTCCTCCAAACTCTCAAGCCCATTCTATTCCCTTCTGAAGTCAGACATCACTCCCATAAATGAGGGAGAACAAAGTCTGATAAGAAAATGATGTCACTTTTTGACAGGTGAACCTTCTTAAATGAGATAAATTTCACCTTGATCATTTTTCACTAAGGTATAAAAATCCAGAGTAAGTGAGTCTGAAGAAGTCTAATCACATCTTCTAACTCTGAAAGCCCTGGAAGGGGCCAGTTTGATTCTGAAGCCAAACTTGCATCCTGATACCGTATCTACCCTGGCTTTCTCAGTTTTCAAGAAAATGTTCTCTACTGGAATCTGTTTTGGGGCCAGTACAGAACCAATTACCCTACCACATTCAGCACGAGCCAGAAAATTCAGTAAATGAGGTTTCTAGGATATCAAACTACTACTGTGTTTCTTATTACAAGATTTTTCTACCTCAAGCCAGTGAATATTCATTATTACAAGAGTTAGAATAGAATAATATAAATTACACATGTCCGTCTAATTTGTGTTCATCTATTCCAGAGGTGGCAAAGTATGGTCTGTGGGCCAAATCTGGCCTTCCACATGGTTTTATAAATAAAGTGTTACTGGAACACAGCCTCACCCATTCATTTACTTATGGTCTAAGGCTATTCTTTTCCTCTACAATGGCAGTGTTGAGTAGTTGCAGCAGAGACCACATGGTTTGGAAAACCTAAAATATTTACGATTTGGCCCTTTACTAAACAAGTTTGCTGACCCCTGATCTATTCATTGAAAACTTCTTTTTGATTAATGGATTCTGGCAGAAACAAAGAATTCGGGGCTTACCATCAAAACCTTTGAAGTTCTGTCGCGTCCCGTATGTGAAGGCTCTCATGGTGTTATCATTGCACTCTTTTACCAATCCCACTGCTTCTGCTCCCAGTAACAGTCTAATCTTGGAGGCACCAACAAGATATAAGTTCTGATTTTCTAGTGTCTCTTTCTCATATTTATTTAACAATGGTCTAAACAACAACTGGGCACCTTCAAAAACAAAATATAAGTACAATCTTAGAAAGACGAACATTAAAGTTTCAAAAATGAAAACCTTCTTAAATAATGTTTCTAGTTTGGTGGAAGAAAAAAATTATATTAACAATTTAAATCTATCTTCCAAGTAAATAAGATACATAAGTAAGTTGGGGATGGCAGTTCTTTATAGTTTTTTAACAACTGCAAAACCTGAAAATTGTAGCAATGAGTAGCTTGCCACTTACGCAAATTAGAAGTAGATATGAGACAAGAATCCAATATTTATGGGCTCTAAGTACAAAACTGCACTGAGTGAAAATATGGAGCAAAGCACTGCAGTTTCTTAATATAAACATAATGGACCAAAATTTAAGTAAATTAATTTGGAGTAAAATATTCCAGTAAAAAAGCCCACAAATAAACAATTACTGGACTATAACAGATTTTGTCAGTTAAATACTAAATAATAAAAAACAATATAACTTTTTAGTCATTTTTCCCATAAATTTCTATATTCAATTAGATTTAATGATATTTTTCTTAACTAAGTTCCCAAAACATTAAGAGTATATATTATGATTTGATACTGTACATGTAATTATTACTTAAAAGATTATGGAGAAAAAGGATTTTTTTTCTAAATTTTTATTTCTACCTATATCAAACTTTTTAAGGTACATTTATTTACTATTTACCCTGTAGAGATGGTTATCAGGAATTATGAAAGTACTAATCAGACAGTAACAGGATAATGAGCAGAATTTATACTTTACTTATCAACTGGATTAAATACATTAAGATTAATGTATTATGATACTATTACTTAGGTAGTTTACAGTAAAGGTATTAAAGACTATATTCAATTTACAGAAAAGAAAATACAAATTACTATTAAATATGAGATCCTTAACCTCATTCATATTAAGAGAAATGCAAAAACTATTCCAACATGCTATTTTTCATTTCTCACACTGCAAAGATGGAAAGTTTGATAACAGATTGTTGAGTGTGGTGGCCATGGAGATGCCCTGCTCTACCCACCTCTTCCCTTCAAGAGAATTTGCTCCAAGCAGTGAGGCTGACTGCCAGCCTTCTGCTGCTGCACCTTAGGATGCTTCCCCCAGCTGCTCCCAGCCATTGGCTGGGCATGGAGGGGATGTCAGAACAAGGCCATTCCTGCTCAACATGGGTTTCCTTTAAAGCTGCGGTCTCCAACCCTCAGGCCAGGACCCAGCACTGGCCCACGGCCTGTTAGGAACCAGGCCATGCATCACCACCTGAGCTCTGCCCCGCCCCTCTCCCCAACCCTGTCCACGGAAAAATTGTCAGGCTGTACAGCAGGAGGTGAGCAGTGGGTGAGGGAGCGAAGCTTCATCGTATTTACAGCCGTTCCCCATGGCTTGCATCACTGCCTGAGCTCTGTCTGGTCTGTGGAAAAACTGTCTTCCATGAGACCAGTCCCTGGTGCCAAAAAGGTTGGGGACCACTGTTTCAAAGGGTAACTTTGAGCCTGGCTGACAGTTTCTCAGAATAGTGCTGTGGTCTGAAGCTCTTCCTACTCAATCCTCCTTCCTTCCCTCTCCTTTCACAAGCGTCAGACCTACACCAAAGTCTGAATGCTCTCTGTGCCTACTCCTGCTCCCTCCCCCTTAGCTTTCCACAAATGTTTCCCTCAATAAACCACTTATGCATCATAATCTCATCTCTTGCTTGGAAGACCCCAACTGACACATGAGTTTGTGGGGAAAGTCAGTCTCATTCATTTCTAGAGGAGAAGAAATTGGTATAACCTTTATGAAGAACCATTTGTCAATATCTTGTTTTGAAAAGTCTCCATCTTCCTTCCCTCAATTAAGCAATGACTTTCAAATTGTTCAAGCGATTCCTTTGTTATTTGCTTTCATGTCACCAAGTAACAAGCTTATAGAGCTATTTCTTGATTTCTTAGTTTTAAGCCTTGGAAGATGAGGATTTAGCTCTCTTTTCTTCCTACCTTCACCATTTCCATCCCCACGCCCATCATTCCATTCTCACTATACAGTTATAGCATCCTTTTGGTTTCATCAAGTACTTGCATTATATATAACTAGTTACATATGTTATTTATAGCTGAGCCTTACAGTAAACTATGATTTTCCTTTCCTGTACTTTCCCTTTTTCTAAAAGTTGCTGTCTTATTTTATCATTTGCCTAGTTTATTACGTACTCATCAAAAATTCAATCCCCCAAGCTCTCTGCCAATTGTCTAAATCTCTCCTTGATACACTGACTTATTATATACCCTATTATCATCTTCTTAAAGAAATCTTTCTTCACTCTGCTCTCACACTTCATTGGCAACTAATTAGGTACAGAATTCTAGATCAAAAATCCTTCCTTCAGAAATGAAAATATTGTACCACTGCCCTTCTAGCTTCCAGTATTTGTTAAGAAGTCTTATCCTTTATATCTAACCTATTTTCTTTTTTCTGGAAATTTGTTGTATTTTCTCTATTTCCAGGGTTCTGAAACTTTCCAATGAAATGCTATTTTTACCCACAATGCTGGGCACTAAGTGGGCCTTTTCCATCTGAAAGAAAAGGCAAGGCATCAGTCTTGTGTTTTTCTTTGATGACTTGTTTTTCTCTGTTCTTTTTTTAGAACTCCTTTTATTCAGAACTGTACCTCTTAGAGTATTCCTCTAATTTCCTTGTTTTTTTCCTCATATTTTCCAATTCTTTACCTTTTTGCTTTTTTGTTAGAGATTTTTCTCAACATTATCTTAACCCTTTTATTGAGTTTTTAATTTTGATTTCACATTGTCACTTTATAAGAACCGCTTTTTTTCTAAATGATTATTTTTATAATATCCTATTCTTGATTCATAAGATGTTGTATCTTCTCATAATTTTGAGAATTGAGATTTTTATTCTCTTTTGGTTTTCTTCTGCATTATTCTTGCTACATTTATCGTTGTTTAGTTTTTAGCTTTTTCTTTCATGTTAGGGATTTTCCTCAGATGTTTGGCGATCTTTTCTTACATGCTCATGTTTAAGAAAGGGGCTCTTAAGAGGCTAAATAGAAGTTCTGAGGGCTAGATGGAGTTTGTCAAAGATGACTTTTAATGGAAGGTAGTCTAGGCCGGGCGCAGTGGCTCACGCCTGTAATTCTAGCTCTCTGGGAGGCCGAGGCAGGTGGATTGTTTGAGCTCAGGAGTTCGAAACCAGCCTGAGCAAGAACAAGACCCTCTCTCTACTAAAAATAGAAAGAAATTAACTGGACAACTAAAAACATATAGAAAAAAATTAGCCGGGCATGGTGGTGCATGCCTGTAGTCCCAGCTACTCGGGAGGCTGAGGCAGGAGGATGGCTTGAGCCCAGGAGTTTGAGGTTGCTGTGAGCTAGGATGATGCCACGGCACTCTAGCCCGGGCAACAGAGTGAGACTCTGTCTCAAAAAAAAAAGAAAAAAAAATGAAAGGTAGTCTAGCCAAGTCATTTTCCATTGGCAACCCCCTGATTTCTGCACTTTTAGGTTTTTTATCTTGAGCTGGCCAGATTCTCCAGAGAAAGACTGTCTAATTTGCTTCCTGGATGGTTTAAATACAGCTGCTAGTATTTTGGAAGCTGAATTAGGTATGAGACTGATGGGGTGTGGTGAGGGGGTTCATAGAGCCCCCACGCCAAAAACCATATATTTGACCTTCTCCAAGGAATAAACCTCAAGTCTTCTGCAGGAGTGGTAGAATATAAAAGTGATACAGGGATCTAACTCTTTACTAAATAGATCTCAGTCAATCCTCTTTTTTTCTAGATAGTACTTTTATCTCCACCTCCACAGTCCCCAGTTTCCCCAACTCCTGAGTCTTTGGGGATATTCTGCAGTGTATACCAAATCGCATCTCAACTTTCTCCCCTGCCAGCTTAAGTTTTAGCTTTCTCAAATCTGAGAAGTCAATTACTATTCACCTACCTGTTTTCTAGCTTCTAAAATTTTGTTGCTGTTGTATCTTCTCCTTCCTTTTCTGTCAATGTGGACTTAGGTCATTTATATATTTTTTAAAGAAGTCCTTTTACTTTTATTATCATTTTAATAGGGGTTTTGAAGAGAATAAATGTAAACATGACTATTAGATCCACTATCTTTACCTGGAAGATCCAAAATACTTTTTTGAAAAGTTTTTTTATTGTCATTCAAACAGTGTAGAATGATGTCCATTCCCTCCCCATCCTTGTGTGTCCCTAAAGACACATAATCCGCAGAAAAGAAGGCTGGGAATATACTGGAATTTTTCATGCTTAGACACTACAAGTGTTCTTAAATCACAGAAATTTTAAAGAAGGGACTCAAGTCCAGTGAAACACCTCAAATTTCAGCAAGCAAACACTCTTGTTAAGTTTCCTACTGATTCAATTGTTTGGAAAAATTTTTAAATTCCACTGTGATTCAAAATTTTATTTTTAAGAAATCACTTCAGGGCTGGGTGCGGTGGCTCACGCCTGTAATCCTAGCACTCTGAGAGGCCGAGATGGGAGGATCGTTTGAGCTCAGGAGTTCGAGACCAGCCCCAGCAAGAGCGAGACCCCGTCTCTACTAAAAAAATAGAACGAAATTAGCTGGACAACTAAAAATATACAGAAAAAAAATAGCCAGGCATGGTGGCACATGCCTGTAGTCTCAGCTACTTGGAAGGCTGAAGCAGTAGGATTGCTTGAGCCCAGGAGTTTGAGGTTGCTGTGAGCTGATGCCATGGCACTCTAGCCGGGGCAACAGAGTGACACTCTGTCTCAAAAAAAAAAAAAGGAGAAATCACTTCAGGCTGGGCACGGTGGCTCACACCTGTAATCCTAGCACTCTGGGAGGCCGAGGCGGGAGGATCGCTTGAGCTCAGGAGTTCCAGACCAGCCTGAGCAAGAGCGAGATCCCATCTCTACTAAAAACAGAAAAAATTATCCAGGTGGGTGGTGCGTGCCTGTAGTCCCAGCTACTCAGGAAGCTGAGGCAGGGAGATCGCTTGAGCCCAGGAGTTCAATTGAGGTTGCTGTGAGCTAGGCTGATGCCATGGCACTTGCCCGGGCAACAGAGTAAGACTCTGTATCAAAAAAAAAGAAAGAAATCACTTCAGTTTACAGTCACAATTTTTTTTTAAAAAAGAGTCTAAGATTAGTCCAGTGTTTAAAGACTTAGTACAGTTTAAGATATTGTTCCATGTAATTTATGAAATGTTTGCTCATAAAAAATGCCCTCTGCCTTCGCACCCAGAACGAACCACTGTCGCCCTTCAAGAGAGGGCTAAACTTTGGTGTCTTAAGTCATCCCTTGTCACTCCAAGAAGCACGCCAAAGTGTCATCTTAGCCTTCTCTTTACTTTTACAGTAAATATACATATGATTCATTCGGGCATTGCTTTGCAACAGCTCTACCACTAACATTTTTCTTACTTGAATTTCTAGGAACTGGCATTCAGTCTCCCCACCCTGACGGTAACATCCTTGCAAGCAGAGACCATATCTATTTCTCTCTTAGCACCACAACTGACACACAAAGCACACTCAATAGATACTTGTCCATCCATTTGACAAATATTTATTAAGCACCTACTACGCACCAAGCACTGTGCTAGGCATAGTATTTAGAACTGTGAAGAAAACTAATCATGTTGCTTTGTCTAATGGGGACTTAAAGTCTAATGTTGATTTAAAACCACTTTTCAAGTCTTCAATAGATAACAAAAGGCAAAAAAATGAACATCAGTAAGTAAAACATATCACTAAGAATTGTAAAATACGTTTATAAATATATTTTTAGTCACTGAGCATGACTAAGTCTGAGTAGTAACTATTTTACTCACCGCCATCTTTTTTTTTAGCAATAATTCTGTTTTTCAGCCATTCTTTGGTTTCTTCTTTGACATCCTGAGCAAGTTCTATGACCACCAAAGGAGTGAAAGAACTCTCGTAAGTATCCAAAGCTGATAAGGTCACTTTCATCTTTGAAAAACCTGCTGCAAATTAAAATAAAAAGCAAAAATGGATTAAGGCAAAGAGAAATATGCTACAGACTGTTTGCATTTTCTCTCAATTATATCTAATTCTGGCTTCCAAGATAAAGGCAAATTTCTGATGATCCAGATGGTTTATATGACAGGCTCAACCAAGGGTTCAAAACACATGTGTGACCCAAGCTTTAGACAGAAAACCATCAATATCTGCAAGCAGTTCAGAATACAGCAGAAGAAATATTCAGGTCAATGAAGGATGACAGTGTAAAACGTGTTCTCACACAAGAGGAATAAGAAAGTATTTACAAAGAATGTGATACCTTAACAGGATTTAGAAGAATGAATAGGAGTTTGTCAGATAGAAAATGAATGGTATTCTAAGTAGAGGAAACGTATTTCCCTACAAAATAATTGTGAAAAAATACCCAACGGGCTCAGAGAAATACAAGTGGTTAGGTATGGCTGAAGCACCAACTCTGGGGTGGGGCGTGGGGGGAGGGCGGAAATGAGCTGGTATCTAATTAGGAGTCCTGATTACAAAGGAAATTAGTTTTGTCTAATATACAAAGGGAATCACCAATTCGTCATAAGCAGGGAATTAATGGAGTCAATATAGAACTATTACAGATTACAAAGGGTCAGCCTAGCATATTGGAGATTGCTTAGGAAGCCATTAGAGTAGTCTAGAAAGAGCTGGTACTGGCCTGAATGGTGGCAATGAAAAGGATAGATTAGAGACTAAATCTATAAAAGTTGACAACTAGACTGAATGGAAAGACAAAAAAATAGGAAAATGTTAGTGGGTAAGGAGTAGTCAGATTATAATTATATGGAACTCTCTATGGTACCCATCTTTGCTAGGCAGAACCGCTGCTATACACTTCCTTCAAAATTACACGTTCTAAAAGTGACACACTAACTGAGACCACAAGCCAAGACTTCCACTTCCAGGACAACAAATTAAGGGGTTCGGACAACTCTTCAAACACCCACACTCACAGGCATAGGGGTGTGTGTGTATATATATACACAGAGGTTGAACATCTCTAATCCAAAAATCCAAAATCTGAAATGTTCCAAAATCTGAAACTTTTTGAGTGCTAACATGACATCATAAGCAGAGAATTCCACACATAAGTAGTTAACACAAACTTTGTTTCATTCACAAAATTATTTAAAATATCGTATAAAATTACCTTCAGGCTATGTGTATAAGGTATATATAAAATATGAATGAATTTCACGTTTTAGACTTGGGTCCCATCTGCAAGATATCTCATTATATATATGCAAATACTCCAAAATCCAAAAAAATCCCAAAAATCCCAAACATTTCTGGTCTCAAGCATTACGGATAAGGATACTCAATCTGTATTTTTAAAAATCTTTCTGTGAATATTAAACAGCCAAGAAGGCAGTGGGAAATAATGGAGCCCCTATCCAGAAGAAACAGAGAGGAAGTTCAGCATTTCCAACTAGTTTCCCTAAGGCCTCTGCCAATTTGGGAAGAAGTAGCTGAGAGGGTTAGGAACTAAGAAGGGATCCTGTTAGCCATGAGAGGCTAGGAGACAAAAAGTGTAATTAGTACAGAGCCCACCAAGGAAGAGGGTTGGATAAAATCCCCACTTTGAAGTGGGACCTGAGAGGGCTACATCCTAAAGCTAACAGTGAACCAGAAATAGATCACCTTTGATAAGTACTAAATTACAGGTTCATATCATCTCAATCAGGAGACAGTATGTGTGAAAATGGGGGGAAAAAGCAATAGAAACAATACATAATAGATCCAAATAATGGAGTTAGTTGAACCGACTTTAAAATAATCATCGTATGTTCAAAGACCTAAAACACAAGACTGAAAATTTTGGCAAAGAACTAGAAACTATTTTATAATGGAAATTCTAGAATTTAAAAATACAGGAGTCAAGCAATGTCTCACGCCCATTAATCCCAGAACTTTGGGAAGCGAAGGCAGGAGGATAGCTTGAGGCCAGGAGTTCGAGACCAGCCTGAGCAACATAGAGAGACCCTGTCTCTACAAAAAATAAAAAAATTAGCCAGGTGTGGTGGTGCACGCCTATAGTCCTAGCTACTCAGGAGGCTGAGGCAGGAGGATCACTTGAGCCCAGGAGTTTGAGGTTACAGTGAGCTATGATTGTGCCACTGCACTCTAGCCTGGGAGATAAGGCAAGAAAGACACTGTCTCTTTAAAAAAAGGAAAAAAAGTCAAAATTAAGAACCCAAAGGAGGCTTCACAGAAAATTAGACAAAGCTAAAGAGAAAAACCAACGAACTATAAGATGGACATGAAGAAAATATCTAGAAAGAAGCACTGAGAACAAAAAGTGAAGAAAATACAGAAAATAGTGTGAGAGACAAGGAAAAACAGAGAGTCCCAGAAATAAAGAAAGGAGCTATTAGGGCAAAAGCAACACCCAAAGAGATACTACCCAAGAGTTTCCCAAAACTGACAAAATATATCAAGGTATAGATTTAACAACCTCTATATACTTCAAAGAGGATAAAATAGAATGAAAAAAGCAGAGAATCCAAGAGAAAACAATAGAAAAACCAAGAGAGAGAAAATCTTAAAAGCGGTCGTAAAAACAAAGACGAAATACTGTGAAGAGGAGCAATTAGACTGACGGCTGACTTCACAGTAAAATAACGGAAGCCATCATGTCTTCAATGTGCCAGAGAGAATCATGGCCAATCCAAGATTACACTCAGTCAAAATATGCTTCACAAATAAAAGAGCAATAAAGCCATCTTCAAACAAACAAACATTGAGAGAATTCATCACCAGCATACTCCCACTAAAGAAAATGATAATAAAGGGTGTTCTTAAAGCAGAAGAAATGGATTGCAGATGATCTGGTAATAATCTTTTTTTAGTGAGCAGAGAGTATTTGCAATATGGGACCTCCCCTAACCCCTTTTAGCTTAATTCTCCTTTATTGAATGCCCACTGCATATGAGACAATGTGCTAGGTACCTATATACATGATTCTATAATCTTCCTACCAGCCCTACAATTTATACTTTAAAAACCAAGAGGAAAATCAAATGAAGAAGTTACTTTGCTAAGTTCAAAGTAAAATTAATTTTCCATGATATAGAGCTTAAGACTAGAAAGAACAAAGTCATTAGAGATACCCAAATTCTACATGTTTTTTCCTACTAAATGAAATCTTAGTTTTAAATTGTCTACCATACAACTCTTACTAAAGATGAGCTAAGACAGAGTTCGAGATAAAATGACAAAGTCAAATCACATTACAGAATCTTCTGGCCTAAAGCAAAATTAACTGTATCAAAAATAAGTAAAACAGCCCCCAAACAAATATTAATAATAAAAGTGAACAAAAACTACTCAGCAGCCAGAAAGTAAATCTCAAGCCAAAATCATGACCAACTAAAGACAATACCAACAATGAACTGATAACAAAGGATCCTTCCTAACAATTTGGAGAATTCCAGCCATCTGCAGTAATGCATTACTTATGGACAAGAATGGAGAAATACATCTGACTAGTCATTGATGCAGTTTTTATTCTCTCTCTCTCTCTCACACATACACACACACATGCACACACTGTAGCCTGTACATGCACATACACACACATGGTTAAGGATGCGTAATCCGGTGTCAGGCTGTCTGGTTCTGAATCCCAGCTCCCTTGTTTGCTGCTGTGAGATATTGAACAAGCTATGTAAGCTGTTTCACCTACGTTTTCTCATTGGTAAAATGGAAGAATTAAAGTTTCTTGTTCAAGGGGTTGGTGTGAGGATTAAATGAGTTAATTCACAAAAAAATAAGTAGCCCAGTACCTTGCATGTAGTAAATCATAAGCGAATGATAGTTAGAGTTGTCTTCATATTATTATATATTTATTACACATATTTATATGTAGCCATACTTTGCATTTTTTACCTTAAAATGTGTCAGGAATTGCTTTCCATGTTAATAAATACAATTGTATTTATATCCTAGTATTAATGGTTCTATCATATTCTTGTACCATACTTTAGCCAACCTCCTGTTGATGGACATTCAAGTATTAGGTTCTTTGCCATAAATACATAAATAAATTGAATAAACAAAATCTCTAATAAACTTTCATATGCATATTTGATTTAATTATCTTTTTGAGAGAAATTACTTAAGTAAATAAATAAAGCTTTAATGAACTTCTATATACATGTTTTGTTTAATTTTCTTCTTGGGATAAATTCCTAGAAATAGCATTGTCACGTTGAGTACAAATACTTAATATTATTTTTCATATTGCCGCTCTGCTTTCTTACAACATCTGTCAGCAATGTATGAAAATGTTAGATTTTTTACACCTATACCAAAACTAGTTTCATCTTTTAGCTTTGGCATATTTGAAAAGGAAAAAATATCTTGTTACTTTGCATTTCTTTTATTAGTAACTTTAAACATCTTTTCAACTGTGTGTTGGCATATTTTTTTTGTGAGTTGTGTTTTTATGTCTTCATATTTTGTTGCTGATTTGTAAGAACTCTTTGTATATCAGGGATGGTGATATTTGTCTCTTATATATTGCAAATATTGTTAAGGTTGTTCCTTACATAATGAAAGGCATATAGTATCTCAAATGAGAATAATCAGTGAGTAAATATAAAAGTTTCTAGATAGTACTCATATACATGTTTAGAACAGAAACCTGCTTTTAGTCTCTCCAAAACTGTTTTATGACCTGGTAATTATGAGTAAGTTGGGTCTTATATTATTCACCTTAGATAGTGCATAAATGTTCAAAAACTGACCTTTGATGTATGTTCCCATATACTCTGCTAACTTTATTGCTCCCTTAAACTAACCATTCTTTCCAACTTTGCTGTTTCTCACTCATAGTTATTCTTCCCTTGTCCAAGGTTGGAAACTTGGAGTTATCTGTATCTATTCCAAGTTGAATGCTGTCTGGTTCTCGGTCTCCCTTTCCAGACTATCCATACTTTTTGGGTTCCTGCTACTGTCCTTAGTCCACGTGTTAGAATGATTTGATGAACACCTGCTTCTGCTACTAGACTAGGGGCTCCTCAAAAGCAAGATGTAGACTTTGTTTACCTTTGTACCTTTAGACTATTATGGTCTGGCTCATAGTAAGCACATGATAAATGTTTACCGTATTTGAAGGTGAGGAAGCTAAGTCTCTGTATTCTAGTGATTGGTTAATATTTCCCCCAACTTTTTATTATGAAAAATTCCAGTCATTCAGGAGAGTTAAAAGAGTATCATGAAGAACACCCATATTCTTGCCTCCTAGATTTACTTATTGAGATTCATGTTACTGTGACACAAAATCCTCTGCTCAGAAACCTACAGGGATTCCTTACTGGCCATTGGGTCAGATATAAACTATAGCATTTGTTATCTTTAAGCAGCCATGTTCCACACAGGCTCTGGGGCATGGGATCAAGAGATAGCTAGACCACATTTTGTTCTTCTTTATCATCTTTCGAATTGCACAAAGGGCTAAAGAGAGACCTACAAATGAAATCAGATTCACGTGGCTTTTACATTAGCTATTGGATCACTGGCCCACAAAAGGTAAATCCTGACCACGGTGGTTAAGATGCAGAGAAAACACACAGTGAGTTCAACCGTGGAGGGATCCGGTAAGAGCGGGGGGAGTGGGGAGTTATTTTAACAAAGATCAGGAAAAGAATGTCGGATCCTTTATACTGGGGATTTTTCTCTTCCTGAGTTTGAATAAAGAAAAAAAGTCAATGGAATTATCACAAAGTCAAAGGCTAAGAAGGAAAGGCATAAGGCTGTGTTTTGGAATCACCTTATTCCAGACTCAAAGAAACAGAAATAAAAATTACAAAATTACTCTCAGTCATGAAGCAGAATAGGAACCACTTCAGTAAAAGGAAACTGAAGGGCCACATTGCACAAGCTGGAAGATGAGAGGGATTTCCTTAGGAGAAAGTTAGAATTGTAATGACCAGGCTAAAAGCAGGCCAGGACACCCCCAAAGAGGTGCAGGACACTAATCACCTACAGGCAGGCAGTTAATTCTAAGAGCAATTGTGGGAACCTCCCTCCTGAGACTTAGGGCAGCTGCCTCAGGGAGTTACATAAGACCTGGACAGACCTGACAGTGGGGAATCACTGCACATTCCCACCCTCACTAGAGTTTCTGGTGACACAGCTAATGCAGGGAAGCTGGGGAGGCCCATTTCCTGAGAGAATGTCTCTGGGAACTCCACAGCATAAGGACTTCACAGGAATGTATAGGAGAGGTAAGACACTGGATACTGAAGACAGCCCAGGCACAAAAGCCCAGGTCCAGCCTGATTAGATGCTGCACAGATGGCCACCTCCTCACACAGTTACCCAGCTGAGTCTTGCCAAGGACTCACCAGTAGGGCAAAATAAGAATATTTCCTCCTCTCACTCATGCCTTCATTACCCCTGATGCTCCCAAGAGTTTGCTTATTTGGGCTGGAATAATGTCTGCAATAAACTGTGCAGGAAGCTGAGGTTGTCCCAGGCCAAGGAGGTTCCCAGTTTTCAGTTTTAAAAGCAGGACAAGTTGGACACACTCACAAAAGAGTAAACGTCATTACTCTTTCTTCCAAAATATCCAGATAGCAGTCGGCATTTGGCACTGTTTTTGAGAAATTCTCATTGCCAATTCATATCCTTTTATAGCATGGATTACTCAGATCATTCCTTCTCTTCTGTAACTCCTTGATGACTTAGAAATGGTATATAAAACTAATTAAAAGGTATCTTATGGGTTATACAATTTAATCAAACAGTAGTCTACTAACACAGGAAAAGAAAATAAATATCCTCATCTAAGGTACAGGATATTAGATATGAATTTAGGGAAGATGTATGGTTTCTAACAGGCCTGCTTTACTTCACAGGTCTGCACCAGGTCATCCTGTTTAGCAGAGCACCCAGATCAAACAAGACTAAGGACATATGACAACTAAATACAATGTAGGATCCTGGATTGGATCCTGGACATTAGTAGGAAAATTGGTGAAATTTGAATAAGGTCTGTAGATTACTTAATAGAATTGTATCAACATAAATTTCCTGGTTTCAGTACTTCTACCATGGTTGCGTATCATGTAAGCATTTGGAGAAGCTAGGTGAAGGGCATAAAGGAACTCTGTGTACCATTTTTGCAATTTTGTAAACCTAAAATTATTTCAAAATAAAAATTTTTTAAAAGATTTTCTTCCAAAAATTTTCCCTATTTTCCTCTTTCTAACACATACACACAAAAACACATATACACTAAAAATAATAGCTTCTGATTCACATGTGACACTTATTCTGAGCTCGTAACCGCTAAAAACAAAGGTTTTCTTGCTTATAAAAGTAAAAAACTTTTAGAAACAATTTAGATATGCAACAGATGAGGAACAAGCTAATAAAGTATAATACAGCCATCATTTAAGCCCATGACAAATATATCTACCTTGAGCAACAACTGAATCTTAACCTCCAAGCCAGTACTAGGCACACAGCTGAAATGCTAATATTTGATAAAAGAATTAATCTGTATGATTAATGGATTATATAACCATTGATGTTTAGGAATTTTTAGGGATCTAGGAAAATGCTAAGTGAGAAAATGTTCGGTGTGGGGGAAAAAAGCAAAGTACAAAGTAATATAACAATATTACCCCATTTATATAATACGTACATTTCTGAACACAAAAAATACAAAAATGAGGAAGAAGGCATTAAAATGTTAATAGGGGTGGTAAAATTACAGAAGAGTTTAATTTTCATCCTTACACTTCCCTGTCTTCTAAGTTTTCCATAATTAAAAAAGTTTCACTGGGTTTTTTCTTAAGTGTATACACACATTTCAATTTACCAGGCCTTTTCCACCCTCTTCCATTATTTTAAATCTTTTAAATTTCATTCTTTATCTGCAATTCTATATTTCTTTCAGCAACATCTGGTCAGAATAGAGGATCGACTTTCCATAGCTAAATTAAAACTGTTCATCATGGGCCCTTAGAAAATATCTAGTTCTCCAGGTTAGTGTGACTTTAAATTGAAAGTAGACATGTGAAAGTAAATACAAATTTTTTAAACCCCACAGGATTAGATTCAAACTCAGCAGGATTTAAGGGAATATAGTACAACTGTGTCTTGAGCCTGAATAAACCTCAACTGTACTTTCTTAAGTCTGGGACCTCCATATGCTGTCCCAGTTGTTGAAATAGGGTTTTACAGAAGACAGCGCACACCAATACTGGTGCTGTGAAGGCACCAAGAAAATGAGGAGCAGCCTGTAGGAAGAGAACCTCATTCCATCCACAATTCTCAGGGGTCCCAGGCACTGCCCCTGACTTGTATCTATTATTTAAACTGTACACTATGTCTCAGTCAAAGACCTGGAAACCCAATCACCCCGACGTGAGAGAGCGCGCGCATTATCCTGCAAGCTCGCTCTGGCCAAACCCGCTGAGACACCCGAAACCTCCCTGCTCCAGGGACTGCCCGAGGAAGCGTGAACCGTGAGCCCCTGAGAGCTGGAACTTCCAACAAACGCCCTCCACCAGGCTTCGCTGACTCCTCCACCCCCACTCACTACCTCCTCCCCAAGGCTCTGAAGCCTCCACATCCCCCTATCCTGACTCCACCAGCCCTAAATTTCGGCCTCACCACGTTTCTTCCAGCACTCAGCCCGCCACCCCCACGCCCCCAGACCCACATCTCCTCCCCAAATCTCGGCTCTCCGCAGCCCTGCGACCGCCACTGCCCCCAACACCTCCACTCCTCCCTCCCGCTACCGAGCACCCTCCCGCTCCCCCACAGCCTCCGCGCCCACCCCAGTCGCACTTCCCCATCGCCGGGATAGCCAACACCGGGAAGCGCCCCGGGAACGAAGGGCGGCGGCTGAGAGGAGCCTCTGGAGGCATCCTGCTCCGGTAGCAGCCGAGGCTCTGAGCCGCGGAGAGCGAGGGGGTCCTAGGCCCCCCCCAACTCACCCGCTGTCGCGGGGCTCCACGTCTTCGGGGGCGGGCCCGGGAGCGGGCTAGACGGGGAGGCCGGGCGAGCGGACGCTCGGCGCGGGGGGGGCCGGGCCGGGCCTGAGGGGCGGACGCAGCCGAGCGCTGGGCGTGGCGGGCGCAGGGAGGCCTAGTCGAGGTAACGCGCAGGCGGGGTCGGGGCCGCGGCGGGAAGGGCGGGGCCTCGCTGGGCAGTCGCGCCGAGGCGGCGGGGCCTCAGCGGGAGGAGCGGGGCCTCCTGGGCAGTCGTTCCGGGCGAGGCCTGGGACCCGTCGCGAGAAACAGTAGGCAGGTCTAATTGGGCTGTTGCCTGGAACCCGAGCCCAGGCGGATGGAAGGGAGAGTTGTGCTTAGGGTACTGTCGCACCACACGGGGCGGGACCGCTGTGGGAGAGGCGGCCTGGTTGGGCTGTCACTCCGAGCGGGGGTGGGATCTAGCTGGGCTCTCCATCTGAGCCGGGTCAGAGCCGGAGAGCGCAATCTGCCCTTCACATTTCCCTCTTCCATCTTATAAGGACCAAAATCCAATTTTCTGGTCACTTTCGGGTTAAGAACAAGTCTCATTTTTAATGCTAGCTTACTTTCAAGTGGTGAAAAACCCAGATCCAATTTATGATTAAAACCTCACGTCCAGTGTACATATAAGAATAACATCTATTGGATGTCGGGCAGGGGGGAGGAGGGAGGAGGGAGGAGGGGACGGGTATATGCATACACAAAGAGTGCAGTGCGCACCATCCGAGGGATGGACACGCTTGAAACTCGCACTTGGGGGGGGGGGGGGGGTAAGGGCAACATACGTAACCTAAACATCTGTACCCCCATAATATGCTGAAATAAAATAAAAAAAAAAAAAACCTCACGTCCAACTAATGCCAAATCCCTTACAGTGGTCTATAGGGTTTCCCAGCCCCGCCTCTCCTTACCTCTCAAAAATCCTCTTTTACTCTCCCATTTGCTCTGCTCCAGCCACATCGGTCCCCTTGCTCTTCCTAGAACTCGCCAGACATCCGCTCGCGTCCCACCTCGGGGTCTTTGCCCTAAGTGTTCCCTCTACCTAGAAACCTCTTCCCCGAGAGCTATTGGGTTCACTTCCTTGCCTCCCTCAAGTCTTAGCTGGAATCTGCCTTTCTCCTGAGGCCCTTTCTGACCATCTTATTTAATATGTGCTCTCCTCTCTACCCAACCACTCCCTTACCTGCCGTCCGATTAATTCTCTCCATGGCATTCATCACCTTCTTTTCGTTAATTTTTATATTTAATTATGTGAGTAGTTAATAGTTATATATATTTATAGGGTACATGTGATGTTTTGATACAGGTATACAATGTGTAATAATCAAATCAGGGTAATTGGGGTATCCGCCACCTCAAGCATTTATCATTTCTTTGTGTTGGAAACATTCCAGTTCCACTCTTTTATTTTAAAGTATATGATAATTTATCGTTGACTATTGTTATTGTTTTATATTACTGTGTTTATCATCACTTTCTTTCCCTAGAATGTAAGTCTCACAAGGGCAGGGATTTAGTACCCCCTTATCTGTGGTTTGGCTTTCTTAGGTTTCAGTTACCTAGCATCAACCATGGTCCAAAATAGGTGAGTGCAGAACAATAAGATATTTTGAAAGAGCGAGAGAACACATTCACCCAACTTTTATTACAATATATTGTTATAATTGTTCTTTTTTATTAGTTATTGTCAATTTTTTACTGTGCCTAATTTATAAACTTTATCATAGGTATATATGTATGTATGTATAGGAAAAACAGTACATATAGAGTTCGTTACTATCATCTGTTTCAGGCATCCACTGGTGGTCTTTGAATGTATCTCCCGTGGATAATGAGAGATGACTGTATCCCCAGTGTGTACAACAGCGTTGGGTCCATAGTAGACAGGCAATAACTCTGGAATGAAAAAAAAAAAATGAATGAACTCTTTCTGCCTCCATACATCCAGCTCAGGCCAGGCCAATGCCTTAAAGACGGGCAGTGGGAGAAGGTTGATCTACTCCTTCTCCCCTACTCCTTCTCTGGATCTTCCAGATACAAGGCAGGAGGTAGGGAGACTAGGAGAAAGGAGCAAAGACTAATTACTTGGTAAGAGCTGTTTGCTATTCTTTCTAGACCCCTGATGCTGTCACAGCAGCTCATGACATTACTGACCAGTTCTCACATAGCTTTTAGTAGGTCTTGTATGGATGTGTCCAGAGGTTCTCTCTCCTGAAAATCCGGTTGAATTGTTCATGAACTTCAATAGGTTTAGACATTAATTACTCCTTAGACTTTCGTTTTTAAATTGTACTCTTCCTGTCTTCTCATCCCTTGAACTTATGATCATCTCTCCATATAACTTCATTTTCTAGTATTTATTAACATATGGCTGGAAGAATTCAAAGAAATTTTTTTTTATTTCAGCATATTATAGGGGTACAGATGTTTACGTTACGTATGTTGCCCTTCCCCCCCCTCCCCCCTAAGTCCGAGTTTCAAATATGTCCATCCTTCGGGTGGTGCGCATTGCACTCTTTGTGTATGCAAATACCCGTCCCCTCCTCCCTCCTTCCCCCCCCCCCCCTCGCCTCCCCCCCTGCCCAACATCCAATAGATGTTATTCTTATATGTGCTCTTATGTGTTGATCAGTTAATACCAATTTGATGGTGAGTACATGTGGTGCTTGTCTTTCCATTCTTGGGATACCTCACTTAGTAGAATGCGTTCCAGCTCTATCCAGGAGTATACAAGAGGTGCTGTATCACCATTGTTTCTTAAAGCTGAATAGCACTCCATGGTATACATATACCACATTTTATTAATCCACTCGTGTATTGATGGACACTTGGGTTGCTTCCACATCTTTGCAATTGTGAATTGTGCTGCTATAAACATTTGGGTGCAGATGTCTCAAAGAAATTTTTGAATGGAAATATAAAAAGTCCCTTTCACTTGGATAATCTTATTTCATCTCCAAAATTCACAAATTAAAACTTTCTGTTAAGTACAAAAAATTAATTGTTGGACAACACAAATAGTAGACCTAAGTTAATGACACAGATCCCCACACAGTAGTACCCCTTACCCACAGGAGATACATTTCAATACCCCCAGGGGATGCCTGAAACCTCAGATAGTTCTGAACCCTATATAGACAATGTTTTTTGATCTGATAACCTAGACGGCTACTGAATGACTGATGGGCAGGTAGTGTATACAGCATGGATATGCTGGACAAAGGGATGTTTAGGCAAGACAGAGTAGGATGGTGGGAGATTTCATCACACTACTCAAAACAGCGCACAATTTAAAACTTATGAATTGTTTGTTTCTGGAATTTTCCATTTACTATTTTCAGACTGTAGTTGACTGCAGGTAACTGAAACTATGGAAAGTGAAACCGTGGATAAGGGGAACTATTGTATCAGTCACCTGTTGCTGCATAACGGACCATCACACAAAATTAGGGATTCCTTTCTCTATCGCTCTCCTGTTGGGGATTGCCTCCATGCTCGCTCTGGCTCCTAGGAGCACCTTTTCCCGGTTCCTCTGTCTAGAAGGACAGGTTTTCTCTCCGTCTTAGGTGTCCATGTCACTGCACCACAACAGTGCAGCTCCCTACCTGGGGCTGGCCTCAGGGCAGGAGAGGGAGAGGAGAAAGCAATCAGGAGTTTCCCCCACTTTCTCTAGCTTGCAACAGCTTTTCTTCCTGGTCCTATAGCTACACGGTCAGGCTTTTCCTGGGCTTTTTGCTGATAGTGTCTGGCTAGCAGTTCTCAATTTGTTCTGTCCTCAGATCGAAGCAAGAGGTAGAGGAAAAAAAAAACAAAAACAGGAATCTCACCACTCCTATATTGGTATTTATTCAAGTTTTAGTTTCCTGCCTAATCCACCTGCTATTATTTACTTCTCAAAGTCCTTAGGTAGTTTTTTATATTTTGTCCAGAGGTTTTAGTAGTAATCAGTGGGTGACATAGGCTGCAGTGGACTTACTCTATTTGGGCCAAAAACGAAACTCATCAATCTGATAGATGAAAAAATGTTTCAGTTTGCATTTCTCTTATTATAAGTAAGGGTGAGAGCATCTTCTCAGGTTAAAGAGACATTTCTCTTTCATTTCTGTGAATTTTACCTATTTATATATTTTGTCCAATTTTCTACTAAATTTAGAAACTACATAAAAGTAAAAATAGTCCTTTTTCTTAAATGTGAATATCAAATTTTTCTCAATTTATCATGACTTTTAACTTTCCTTATACTATTTTGTTTGCTTGCTTGCCTGGTTTTGGTTTAGTTTCTTGGCCATGCAGACATTTCTATAACAACTGGTCAATTTTACCAAACTTCTTTCACTACTTACTGCTTCTGAGTTGTATCATACTTAGAAAGGCCTTCACCTCTCTGAGATTACTTTGAAAATCTTTCCATAGTTTCTTTTTTTACATTTCAAAGTTTTACTTTTTTTCTTTTAAAATTTGACCCATCAGGAATTTATTTTGATATGAGGTAAGTGGAATGGATCCAACTTTACTTTCCCAGCCATCTTTAATAATTAATAATCCATCTTTCCCCTGCTGATTTTAAATGCCATTATCATACATTGAATTTCTTTCTATATTGATGAACTTTCTCTTCTGTTCTATTAATCTGTTGGTTTATTTATGTACCAGAATCATAAGATTTTAATTTTTGAATCTTTATAATACATCATTACCTTGCTTTAAACTCTCCAGTACAGTCAAAATCCCACCCCACCTGACAGTTCCTGTGTCCCTCATTCTCATAATAACCATCTATTGAAGACCAGGTATGGTGGCTCACACCTGTAATCCTAGCACTCTGGGAGGCTGAGGTGAGAGGATTGCTTGAGGCCAAGATTTCAAGACTAGCCTGAGCAAGAGCGAGATCCCGTCTCTACAAAAAAATAAGAAAAATTAGCTGGATGTGGTGGCCTAGCACCTATAGTCCCAGCTACTCAGGAGGCTGAGGCAGGAGAATTGCTCAAACCCAGGAGTTTGAGGTTACAGAGGGCTATGATGA